ATAGGTTATGGTTCACGTAACTCTTTATATTCTAAGAGATATGGTCGTTTGAAGTTGATACAAGTAGAATCTTACATCAAAACTTAATGAAACTTCAAGAACACTTATCAAGAACTCATCAAGAACTCTAATCTTTAAATTTCAAGAACGAAATTACGCTGAATAAATCATGATTGGCGTGTGGGTGAACTAACCCAGCACTATGGAAGCTTACATACCTCTTAGGGATTAAACCCATGGTGAAAATCCGCAACAAGACGCAAGAATTTCGACGAACGCTTGACCCTCTCATCTTTTCTCTTCTTTAACTCTCAACTAAAACCCTAGGATAATTTTAGAATTATAAAACTGAACCTAATCAAATTAGACCCTTAAAATATTACTAAAAATGAATGAAACCTGTTTTGGTAAGGAAAAGACCAAAATGCCCCTCTAAAACCCGGTTTTGACTTTCCTTAATTGGACAGCCTAATTTAAAAAGGTCATATCTCACTCATCCGACCTCTAAATTTAGCAAACTCGGCGGCGTTAGAAAGATAATTCAAAGTTCTTTCCTACGGTATCTGGTAGCACACCTAAATCATCCTGAGCTAGGAGTTATGGTCGTTTGAAGTCGACCCAAAACTCATACTTAAGCATAACTTGCAATATTTCAGATTTTGCTATTTCCAATTTAATTCTTTTTCGAACTCAAGGTGATACATCTAGTGACCTTAACACTTAAGAAATTTTAATTCCTTGGCAAAATCTCACTCACTACGATGAACGGTTCAAGTCTTAGTTCGAAAAAATTTCTGGGGTGTTACATTTATATATAGCAAGGAACTAGGGTTCGGAAACGGGAGAGGAAGGTACGAAAATTCGGGTTCAAGGCCCATTCCCCAAATTCAAATTTGAAAGCTTTCACAATTCGGGACTAGCACCTTTTCCCTGAAATTTTGCCTCATTCCGAAAGAGGAAAGGGGAGAAATGCGGCTGGGATCGACTCTCATGTACTCGATGTGCCACGCGGCTCAATCCCAAAGCGTAAGGACGATCTCGCGTGTTGCTTTATGCTGTAACGGATGCATTTTCAGAGAAGGAAAGAGGAAGAAAATGACAACGAATTTGCAGTGTACTATGCACTGTGTTGACGCCGTGTATCTCCCGTGAGCTACTGCTTTCCGTCGTTGTGTATTTTGTTGTTCTGGAATTTGCACGCTGTGTTGGGTTTCTTTTGAGGAAATAAAAAATGGGCCGGGTCAGGGAGGTTTAAAAGTGGGCTGGGCGGTGAATTTGAGTGGAAGTTAGGAATTGGAAGTGGGGTCGTTTTGGTATGCTGTATTATTATATTTATTGGAATGTAATGTATGGATTGTATGCTGCTGCTGTACGTGAAAAAGGGCTGCTGGAAATGGGTTGAATTTGGCCTAAAATTGGTCTTTTAAGATGGGTCTAGGGTGAAAACAAACTAAATTGGTGAGAATTAAATTAAGCTTTGGCCATATGATTTAAATTATAGCCAATCGGAGATTAAAGATGTAGCCAAATTGAATTAGTTGGGATAAGTTCGGCTAGCAATTTAAATAAGATGAATTAATTTATGAGTTCTTAAATCTTAACGAAATAGAATAATTAACTTAACCATAAACTAATCGATTTACCTATAAGTTTATTAATCCAAAATTAAAACCATAGTTCAAACTAGAACTAATTGAATAGAATATTTATTTAAACATATTTTGATATTATTTTCCAACATTTATAAAATATACTAATTACGTATATAATTATATGAAATATATTGGTTATTCAAAACACTATAAAAATCGATTGAAATTACTTAAAATAACCTTGAAATTATTTTGAATTTTATAAAGCTAATTATTCTAAATCGTTTTGAAAATTAAGAAGCTCAAAACTAATTATTATCGGGGAGGGTCAAAATTGGGTGTCAACAAGCAGCATTCCGAAGCTGTAAACATCAACTTTGTACGAGATTGCTCCAATGCTTCTGCTAATCAACTCTGGAGCAACATATTCAATAGTTCCACGAGCAGCCGTGAGAGTCACAATGCTTTTATCTGTTGGATATAATTTCGCAAGCCCAAAGTCAGAAATCTTTGGAATGAAATTCTCATCCAAAAGATGTTGTGTGGTTTGATGTCAAAATGCAAAATTCGTACATCACAGCCTCGATGCAAATACCCAATTCCTCCGAGCCACTCCAAGAATAATGTCATACTTCCTCTGCCAACTTAACAGAGGACTTCCTTCTTGACTCGTGCTGATGTACTTATCAAGTGATCCGTTGGGCATGAAGTCGTATACAAGAGCACGCTTTGTTCCCTCAACGCAATACCCCACGATTCCAACTACGTTGACATGATGAATCCTTCCGATGGTAGCTACTTCATTCATGAAATCTTGCCCACCAGCTTTAGGCTTGCTCAACATCTTCACTGCTACATCCCTTCTACTTTGAAGCTTTCCTTTGTACACAGCTCCATAACCCCCCTCGCCTAATTTCTCTTTGAATCCTCTTGTCATTCTCTTTATGTTGGAGTAATTATATCTGATTGGCATGAAATTGTTTTGTGTTTGCAAAAAGCCTTCAATCGTATCATACATTGACAAATGCCTCCTTTGGAATTTGTACACCTGAAATGCAATTAATAACGGAAGGCTGATCACAAATTTTGCTCCCGAATACACTGCACGTTTGAAAAGTCATAACGAACCACAGAGATGAAAAGCTTATAAATGACAATATTTTGGATCGGTGTTTAAATGAAAAGGGTGTCTTATGTTACGGATATCGCCACAAGCAGAATCAGGACAGTTGATCTTCCAAGCATTGGATGTTTAAGCTGAGAGTTTCCTTTAGACATTTGTGTATTACTCAGGTTCAGCTGAGACTTCACAATTATTGTTGAGTAAATGCAATTATTGAAGCTTTGTGATCTTTTCATTACCAATATTACTCCTTTGGGTCCCAAACCAATGGAAGACTTGTGTTTGGTCATTTAACTTTGACGTTTACCAATTTGTTAGTGAGGGAGATGGATATGTCATGTTTCCCCCACATGCCAAACACACCTTTTGCTCAAACTGTGTATTTGTGTTGAACGGTTGTGACTTTATATATTTATTTATACGCATAATACATAAATATGTCTTTTAACTTGACCTGTATTTTATATTTATGTCCTCCAACTTAGGGTGTGCACAAGTATACACTTGAACTTGTGTAAACTTGAACAAATAGACACATGCGTCCATTTGGGTCCTATGTGTATTACATCACGTAGGACTCATGTGTCTATTTGTTCTAGTTTATAAAAGTTTAAGGACCCGTTTGGTTGGCGGTATTAGATAAAATAATCCATGGATTAAAATTTAATCCATCTAATACATTGTTTGGTTACTTTATTTAATTTAATCCATGGATTGCTTATCCACCATATGTGGTCTTATCTTATCCCTAGAAAATGGAGGGATAACTAATCCAAGGTTTAACAAACCTCGGATAAGATCCCTAAATGACTAAAC